ATACTGTAGTGTCGTTGAGTCGAACCCACTGAGCTTACTTACTTGATGAACGACTGGTGACAGTGAAGAGACATTTTGAAGCAGTTTCGCCCGGCCCCGAAAGGAAAAGTGGGCCCCGTCAAGTTCAGTTCAGTGAGTTCATGGCTACAGTGAATCAGTTACTGGATACAATTCCTCCGTGCGCTGCAGACTGAATGTTGGATGTTAATACGCTGATCAATCTGTGATATAACTGCAAGATAGACGAACGTTTCGTAAGATTTGATCTGGCTCTCTAAAATCTTGACTGAAAAGATACTACAACAGTGACCACGAAGATACATCTTTAGGAGAAAAGAGACCAACAAATGGCTCATCTTATGAAAGCAAATCAACGCTAAGTGAAACTCTAATGGAGCTTATCTTAAAAAAAATTAATAACTCCTTCAAAAGCAAACCTACGGATGCTTCATCGCTCCCTGCTCCTAGTTTTCGGTCATTTAAGCATGCCACGGCTCCATGGTATATGGTCACGTGCAATATCAGAAGCAGGTAGCATTATGTCGATCATTTGAGCCACTTTGCACTGATTACGGACGATATCTAAGGAGCTGGCACTCCGTGTAAGCTACCGCATAAGCATCAAAATATGTTTTTACTTCCGAATCTGTTAAATAACGCATAACTCCTCCAAGGCCAGAGTTTATGACGTACTGCCCCGCCCCCTTGCTCGTAGTTGCCTACGCTACATGGTATTTGAACAGCTGTCACGCTAATGTTGGCGCCATTTCCTGCTCATCACGAACGATGTTTCAGGAGCTGGTAAGTAATACTATACGCGCAACCTCAAAAACATCAAATTACTGAATTTAGAAAGGTGTGGCCTATACCCCTGGTCTTGGAGAAGGTTTCGCATGTTAAAAGGTAGTCACAATGCATGCGAAATATTGGCTGCAATGGCTACATCAGAAGCGACCCGTTGTCTTGTCAGCTGATTTTTATGAGCATAATCGTGGCACCCTGAGACAGGAGAATCGATAACACTGATCGTTCCCATAAAGATATCAACCAAATCTTAATGGTTCAATAGCTGAAAAGTTAGCAACTCAAACACTGACCGCGAAAAATCAACTGCCAGCTCATCCCACACCTTCAGCAGGTATTAAGAGTCTTAAGCAGCCTGTAGTTTCGCTACAAGGTGTCAGATGACGGCGATGATACAACAAACAAAACAATCGTGACATTACGATATCCTACCGTCCCAAATGTTCAGACGTCATCGGTTCAATGGCCATGCCTCGACTGTTCGCATAAAAAAGTCAATTCAAAAATTAATTGAGACAGTTCTTGTGGAATTATGCTCACTAACGTGTTACGGGAATTCAAAACCATTTTCTGGGCTAAGCATCACATTCTGTAGCATAACTTACGACAAGCAAACTAGATCAAAACGATTTAGCATGCCTCCAAACAAATCATTTTCAGTTCAATAGATGGAGTTGTTCCGGAGACGAAACGGATGAAAATATCCTCAGTAGCACCACCTCTCCTCTGCATGAAGATCCCTCACTACGCTTATTATCATACACAGTATTCACGTTAACCGTTCTTTATCGGAGCCTCAGGGAGTACTCTCAAAGACCATGACAGCTGCAGGTAACTACACAGCAACATTTTTAAGCGATGCCAACTGCCTCGAACTACGCCGTTGCCAGTCCCAAGTCCGATTGAGAAAGGAGAAGGGGTGGAGTCCGTGGCAAAGTATCCGCAAATTTAGACACCTGCCACACATGGTATTGACGGCATCTAAAACTACACCGGTTCGGTCGTCGCCCGAGTCACCAAGGGACACGCAGGCTGTTGGGAGACTGAAGCAAACCGTGAAACGTTGGTGATCAGAACCTGCTCATCGTCCTCTGCCAGCAGGGGTGGAGGCGTAGCAGCATAGCAGCACAACGACGGCTGACGAAGACCAAAGGAACGATGACGAAGATACCAATCAGCAACGGAGTCGCTGTCTGTTCTGAACGGAGGACGCAGACAGCACGATGCCATTATAGCACGTCAGAAAAGGTTCCACAAGAACGACACCACAAGTGGGAGCTTAAAGTCGGAAATTGGAACACATCCTCACTCAGAGGGAAAAACAAGAGTTAGTTGATGAGGTCATAAGGTATCAACTCGACATTGTTGGACTCTCGTCAATGAAGCGTCAAGGCTCCGGAATACTGAACATCAGCAGGTGGCAGTTATTCTACCTTATTAGTGGAAGTTACACTCAGGTATCGATATCACGACGCGCGCTCAGGCCGTTCTTGGTGTTCTCATAGAACCCCAACCTCGCAAATAGAATCATTGATTGGAAGCCTGTCAGCGGAAGGGAGGTAATCTTCTGGCTGAAGCTGTAACAGGCCAAAGCGTTGACTTTGGTACAGGTCTATGCGCCCAATTTGGAGGGAGAATATGATTCCTTCCTTGAGGAAGTGCAGTGTGCTCTGTCCGAAGTGCCAAATACAGAATTCCTCATATTGATGGGCGATTTTAATGCGCATGTCGGAGTAGACGCTGAAATAAGGAACGGCGTAATTGGAAAAAACGGCCCTAGCGATCTCTACAATAACGGCATGAAGTTGTTGCGGTTTTGTGTAAACAACGGACTGTTCATCATGAATATCTTCGTCGAGCATCGAAAAGTGCATCAGCACACCTGGTACCGGAAAGCTTGTGCACAGAAGTCGATAATCAATTTGATAATCGTATCGTCTGACCTAAGACGCTCAGTAATGGATGTTCGTGTTAAGAGAGGCGCGGACCGATCAACCGATCATTACCTTGTTGTTGGCACGCTGCGCTGTAAGAAATGGAGCACCATACGAAGATCTGGAGGCAGAAGTAACCAGAGAATCAAATGGGAAGTATTATCTTTGGGGAACACCAAAGGGAAATCTGCAGACAACATCGCATGACGTTTGAACAGATCCCGACGTGGAAACAGAGTGGTAGCTCTACAAGAGCGACGTAATTGAGACTGCCGCCAAATGACGCAAACTTTAAGGGGACGGCCTGCCGCCAGGAGCTCAGAATAGAACTTCCTGGTGGACACGAGAGGTACAACTGGCAGTTAAAGAAAAGGCTGGAGTCAAGCAATGGCTTGGAAACAAACAGACTTGTACTAGCGTGCGATATGTCAAAGCTCGAAAGACAGCACCGAAAGAAGTGGCGAAAGCCAAAGTTGATCCCGGGGAGAAGTTCGGCGAGGTATTGCAGCCGAATTTCCACTGGGAGAACAAGATACTCTGGCAGATTATTCGCCATCTCCGAGGTGGAAAGACGGGCAGTCTCAGAATCTTGAAGGACAGATCTGGACAGCCTCTTACGAAGGATGACGACATTCTTCGACGATGGAGGGAGTACTTTGAGGAACTCCTTAACCCCGAGCAACAGTAGGAAGACTCGCCTGTAGAGCAGAAGGGTAAGGATACTACTATCTCTGTCGATGAAATTGCACAGGCTGTGAAAAGCTTGAAAAACGGAAAAGCTGCCGGAGTTGACGAAATCCGCCCTGAAATGCTGAAGGCATTAGGCGAAGAAGGCATGTGCTGGCTGACGCGC